CAGTATGTTGAAGATGCTGGTTCCATATCATCACAAATTTCTGTAACGTCTGATGTTCCTCAAGGATCGCATTCTTTTTGTAAATGGTCTGGTGTCGTGTCACACACCACAGCTATTACTCAATATTTGCAGATCTCAAACTTTATAGAATAGTAGATAACTTTTGTGATGCAGAACTATGGAACGCCGTTTTACTTTTCATTGTCACAAATATTCATTCCTCAATTTATTCAACTACACTGTATCTAAATCACATAAATAATTGGGATTTGTTCAATGATCCATAAACAAATTTTCAATAAATACCTTTGAAATATTGTACTGTTCTTTGGTACGCTCGGTCTTGGAAATTGTCTGATATGAAGTCCTCTAATATATCGAGGATTGAAAAAAGTAAACACCAAATTTCTATAATGAGGTATGATCAGTTCTTTAATATCATTACGAGAATATTCAAACATTTAGAAATGAATTTCTGTATATCTGTTGACATATTAGGCCAATAGACATTTTTTGGTTCTATTTTTAGTTTATTCAGTACCTAAATGTGCAATATGTAATTTCTCTAACATTGAATGTCTCAAAGATATTGGTACAAGTCTATGATCTAAGAAAAGTAGATCATGTTTTGTGTGTAATGAAATTTGTATCTTGAAAAACCTTAATAATTCTGAGTTATCAGGAAGTTCTGATTTGAGTGGCCAACCATCATTACAAAATGTAATTATTAAACTCAGTGTAGGATCATTTCGTATAGCATTCTTTAATTTTGTTAAAGTACTATCACTGATAGGAAGTTCTATTTCAACACTACGACCAGTGAAATTACTAGTTATTTGACTTGTATTTTCAGTTTTCTTTTAAGGTACTTCTGGATAACAAATCTGCTATGTACATGTACTTTCCTGGCAAGTATTCAACATCAAAATTATATTTTGAAAGCCTCAGTTTGAGTCTTTGGAGACGACCAGATACTTCATAAAAATCTTTTTTACAAATCAACAGCAACAGCTGATGATCAGTGTTGATTAATATTTTTCTTTCATAAACAAAATTATGGAATTTCTCAAGAGAAAAACAAATAGCTAGTAATCTTTATGAATTTGAGGATATCGGGTTTCTGTTTATGTTATTGCTCGTGAACAAAAAGCTACGGGTTTTCCTCTTTGCAGTACATACCCACCGAGTCCATTTTTGCTTGCATCAGTCTGTACCATTATTGGATGTGCTGAATCAAACATCTGTAACTGTGGAATTTCTGCAATAAATTAATTAATATCTTTCAATATTCATGTATGATCATCAGTCCAAGTGAAAGTCATATTTTTTTTATAAGCTCTCTAAGAGGATATAATAAATTAGACACATTAGGAATGTATTTTTCTGAGTAATTAAGCATGCCTGGTATATAAAGGAGTTTTTTTTTTACCATTAGAAGTTTGTATATTCAATACAGCTTGAATGTAATCAATGTCAGGAAAAACACCTGTAGAAGAGAATATTTAACCTCGTTATTTCACTTCATGTAATTTATCTATATTAAAATTGATGCCAAACTTTTTTGCACAGTTTAATACTTCACTCAAAATAGCGACGTGTTCTTCAATAGTTACACCACATATTACTAGATTATCAAAATAAATGCATATATTGAGATCACCAAATATTTTTCTTTTGTCCTTTTAAACTCTTCTTGTCTGATTTCGATACCAAAAAGAAATCTTCGAAAACATAATTTACCAAAAGGCGTTGAATAACACAAGTATTTCATGCTTTCTCTCTCCCTCGTTTGAATCAAATAAGTAATATAAATATTGTTTTTCCTTTCAACTTAGATGCTAAATCTTCTAATATAGGAATGTAGGCTTCTACAGCTGGCATCAATGTTTTGGTTGGTTTAAGGGTTTCGCTGTGGTCTTCTTTGGTTACAATCTCCAAATGTTTCAACTGCAACAGTCATCTTCAGTGGCTTGGTCGAAATACTCTTCTTGACGCATCAACTGAAACCAAAACTTGTACAGATAGCTCCTGTATTCCACTCACTATCTCATCACTACTTGTGATGCACTGTGTAGTAATGAATATTACTGGAGATTTATCCTAACACCAAACCGTTGTTTTTAACACCTCACTTGGTGATTGAAACACATGTCGACGTGTTGAAAATGAGGGTTTGGTGTTGGAATACAACTCCAGTAATATTCATCTCATCTGTAATTCAAAATTCCTCCAATTCACCAAAATTACATGCAGAAGCTATTACTTTTATGTCCCTAATAGAATTGTCAAAATTTTTGCCTTTTTGTTGCACTCACGTGAAAAATTTGTATCGATCGAACTTTTCATTTTCAATTAGCTTTTTTTTAAAGCTTTCATAACATCAAAACTTCTGCCTGCTTTCCTCCATCATTTCAAAAGTTTGAAAATTGTTATCTTGATTTTTTCATCTTTCAGACTTGTTGCCCTCAGGTATATATCCAGACTTCTTAAGAAGACATCCAAGTTTATGTGTATTTTCTAGTCTTTTTGAAGGTTTGAAACTTCCACTGTTATAATCCATATTATAACGGTACTCACGCTTTGGTAGAGATTTTATTATGATTTGATTCAAAGTACCCTTAACCTGACTCTATGTTATGTTTCTTAGTTTGTATTATTTTAATGGCTCAAATAAAAGTCCTTCATTCAATTAGAATTTCCATTGGGAGTGACTTTTCATGTCTTAGTTAGTTCCATCGACATAACCTTTTCTTATAGGTTATGTCGGTGGTTAGTCCCCGCACAGGACAGTAATCAATATTCCTGTCAGCTCACCATGGAACACTATTAATAATATACTGTACTAGATCTTCTTCTTATTTTTCCTTCAATGGCTTCAGCTACCAGGGCTATCCAGCCAGGAGTGCTAGAATAATGTTGCTACTACAAGTGGAGCCCACATTGAAGTGGATCTGAGAATGCACTAGATCTTTTTCAAATAACTGACACATGTAACAAGGAGAGGTAGTTTTGCTACAGTATAGTTACACAATATTCCGTGTATGGTGGTTTAAGCAATCAGCTTTATCATCTGTTTGTGAAGGTATGAACTATAATCCCAACATATAAACATTCCACCAAATTTTCTATATTTCTATTAGATCTTCATTCCCATAAGTTCAGCTGTTAAACACTAGATGGTGTCCACGTAAAGTTCATCAACTAATCAATACAATTCAAACAATCAGAACTATGGCGATAGTTAACATCCATTCGCGACTCAAATTCCGTAGTATCAAAATGTAATACTGTTTCTCACAATCCCTCCTTAAAAAAAATAAACACTACTCAGTGTGAAATGTGGCTCCATTATATTATTTCATACATTGAATGTAACTGGCCAATACTTTTTGAAAATCCATATTATTAATCTCATGAAATTTACATATTTATAGAGAGAATGAAACAAATCCAAACGTCTTTCATGTTCAATAAATCAACTATGTATTAAGATGTCTATTTACAGTATGCCGGTAGATTACCTTCCAATAGGCAGCATGTATTACTGGTTGCCTAAAGATCAGTAATGGACAATTATGATTATTCACAATATTATACCATGTATAGATTAGGAACAGTTTTTCACACAAATTTTATGAAAATAATCCATTCGAAACAAATACTTTCATTCAAATATACACCTATAACAATAAATAACACGGAATATTTTAAAATTTGTATGGAGGATAACTAGGTACTCAAAGTAGAATATAACAACTAGGTTTCCGTTATCATTCAATATTAAAACAATACGAAAATAATATATATCACTGAAAATATAAAATGTATTTATAATGCTAATTTTCTTCCTTCCATCGATATTTCGACAGCTCTCCTAGGTTTCTTCAGTCTCTTGCAATCCAAGAAATTTTTGTAATGCTTTTCAAATCTGTTGAGTCTCTTCTTCGTTTGCTTACTAATATCAACGTCGGACTGCCATTTAAGCCTGTTCAGGTAAACCTTATTGGAAGGTACAGGAACTCTCGCTCTGGCAACGCAACCTTTTTCTCCGGGTCTGAGAGGTTGTCCCTCTGCGTTCAATGCTTGATTGTGTTCTTTCCTTTCTTGGGCTGTCTGCACATCCGATTTCCATCTCTTTGTTCCCCTTTGCTCATAGTCTCTCTGAAATCTCTCCTCTTTGCTCAAAACTCTAAAGTCTGTAGACAAATTGAATATAGGGCTAACCCATTTACGGATCAATCGTTCGGCCCTCTCTCTGTTCTCTTTCGTTTCTTTTGGGTGCCTATACAAGTACATCACAGCTTTTCCGATACCCGATTGTTTTAGAGTTGACTGGTCGACTCTGGGAAAATCCGATAAAAGCTTTAAAAGAGCTTCCCTGATTTGCAGAGAAGGCATTGATCTATCGGGCATTGGAGCTAGCCAACCGGTAAGAACATTCAGCACATTGTGTTCTATGAATCCTAGTTGCAAATCATGCTTTTTCAATTGAGAAATAACTTTGGTCAACATTCCAATTTTTTTTGTTGCTGGGTTCATCATCTGGTTCAATTTACGGTCTTCCTCTGCTGCATTTCTCATGTCACAAAGTAGTTCAGCTATGATATCATCATTGTCATTAATAATATCGATGGTTTTCCTATTTCTTCTCTTAGAGCCCTCTCCCCTTTTCCTTTGCAACATAGCTTCAAAATCTGATAATCCTTTGTCATCATTATGACCGCTCCTATCAACTACTTCATCAGGATTGTTATTTTCCTGAGGAGGATGTGCTTCGTTTTCTTCTTGAGCATCACTAACCAACATCGTCTTTGAATTTAGCTGCAACTCTTCTTCATCCTCCGAATCAGATAGCAGAACACGTTTACGACCTCTTTTAGCTCCATTTCCTGACCTCGATTTTCTAGACTCGGGTTCCGATTTAACGGACCCAGAACGTGACCTAGATCGGGATCTTGAGCGAGAACGCGATCTAAACCTCGACTTTGCTGACCCAGAACGTGATCTTGACCGAGATGCTGCCTTTGCTGATCCTGAACGTGACCTAGACCTCGACTTTGCTGACCCAGAACGTGACCTAGACCTCGACTTTGCTGACCCAGAACGTGATCTAGATCTGGAGCCGTTCGAGTCTCCAAAACGTGATCTTGATTTAGAACCCTTAGAATCTGCTCTGCTGCCGGATCTTGATCGGGGTGAACCAGACTTGAATCTAGATCTAAATGCTCTGATGCCAAGAGCACTTCCAGGCCTCGATGGTGAACGAGATTTGTCACTCGCTGGAGAACCTTTTCCATCCTCTTGATCATAACCTTCACTTATGGATTCCATAGTTATACAAACGACTTGCTAGAACGTCTACAATATCTCGATTACTGCTTAGCTTTAAACATAACGCATCTATTTATTTGTCTTGTACTAGTACCTGTCTAGTGACGTCATTGTCCATGTACCTATATACCTTTCTACCTGTACCTCTACCAAAACCTGTAGAGAATATGCATGATTTTTTTATGTCTCAAATCAATCATTAACATATTTATAACATAGGAAAAAATATAAATAGGCTTGAAAATATTCAAATTATTTTTCAAAATGAAATTAAAAACATTGAATGAATTCGAACCCTTCAAACTTCATCATTTAGCGCGAAAGAAACTAGAAAACCTGCTTACAAGTATTGTATGGTACTGAAGTGCAAAAACACTGTTAGAAATACACCCGATAAAGTGTTTTTTCGTATTCCAAGCGATGCAAAAGTACGAAAACAATGGTGTAAGATGAAAAGGGGTAATGTATCTCTGATATCGTGGGTATATTGTGAAGATCATTTTAACGTAAGTATATGCTTTTTTATATATAGCTTAGTTTTTACTGAAAATATGTATGAATCTGAAGAGGAAGCAGTTGACTTTGTAGCAGGAAATATCTCGGAGTGTACCACAGAACTATAACTTAGATATAGTTCTGTGGAATGTACAGTTGTTAACATTATGAATTGAGTTCTATGGTTTTATGTTCCATGTCATATGTAATATTTATTTTATTATGTAGTCGCAGTTATGTACCTATATTTAAAAATATAAAAGCAAACCACTGCAGTATTTTGACGTTCCCATTAGTCAGGGAAGCTATGGATTATACTGTAGACGACCCTTCCCGACATAGACCCCGACACTCTGTCGAATGAGGCCCCTATGTTCTCCGTTAAATTGAACAATTTCTTCATCCAACTAACCCCAGCCAGGTAGGGGTACACCGTGAAGGGCGGTACTGATGTCTGAGGACATTCATGCCGCCATACCCTCAACACTCACCATCAGTCATGACCCGTTTGTCTTTCTGGCAAACATCAGTCCAAAGGGTAAGGGAGCCAGGCTTCAACCTGATTGAAATCAAGACGACCTGCAGGTATTTTGACGTTTATTCAAAATATAACGTTCTTCATTCCATGCACAAATAACACTTGAGGCTCAAAATACACATGTGCATGAGGTCCGACAGAAATATGCTGTTACTTGCAATTAAATGAAACTATTATCTCTGTTCAATGTGAAGATTGTGCTGTATATTCAGGTAACTATTGGCAATGATGTATATTTGTTAGAGTTAGTTCTAGTTAGACTTGACAACTTTCTTAGGCAGAAGGCAATAAGAAATATACTAATTTAATTTATGTAGGAACTTTTTTTATTATTTTCAATGTTTTAAGTGTATGAACATCAATCAATTAACTTATCTTTTGTTTAAGGTGGATGTAGGCATGCTACACCTGCATAGTGAAGATCCATAAACAACTAGCATGAGGTTTATAAAAGCCAAGGACATTTCTAGAGCACCTAAACGCCTTTGTTTTGTGTTGTTTATACTTATTTTAAAACATTAAAAAAGTAACAATATCGAAAGTGGATTATGATAGGCAACTATGTGAAAATTTGTTGGAAAAATGAAACTCTTTGTAGTCCATAACATAGATTTTTATTCATAAATGCACAGCAGTTTATAATATACCAAAACATAACCTATACATAAACTCGTTAAAATGGCTCCAAAACTGCTATTTTACACCTATATCATAATAATTCATTTGCATTATTATATTATCGAAGTGCACTCAAGTATGATAAGTTTATTTTCTTTTTGTAAATATGCGAATATATAGTGATTTCATGTATACTTGTATTATAAATCGAAATTCCGATATTGACTTGTACAGCTTTGTCACTCTGTAGTTCATCTTCAATATCAGAAGTGTTCGATGGATCATCAATTCGGAAAGTACTGGGTTCTGCTTGATTAATATGATATACATTTGTATGGGAAGTACTAGGACTTATTTCATAATCAATTCTTTGTGGAAGTTCACCAATTTCTATAATATTACTACTTTTGATAGCAAACTCTGAATCTTTGTCTTTCAACTACGCCCATTACGTTTTTGACGTAATACAATACAAAATGATATGAGTGTTAAAAAAATGCGCGTCAAAATCAACACTTTTGATCTGGGAAAAATGTTTTAAATATATTTCCAATTCTACCTGATTCCATTTCCTCAAATTGCTACTATGTATGCATATTTGGTATGAAACGCCAACGACTTATGAATTTTACTGCATAACGTTGAGATATGTTTTCAAGTCTTTTCTCTGAAGAAAGATAAAATAACAACTAATTCACATTCTGAGACATTTATGAGCGATTTATTGAAAGTAGCTATCGTGAAGGAACTATTAATATACTCATGAAAGTAACTACTTTGTTCGTAGGAAAACACTTATGAAAATTATTAATTATATTCTGTATTCATCTTGGCAGTGTGTTTGAATTTCCCTTCCTTATTATATAATATCTTATGAGTTTAAATATAACTTATTCAAAAAAATGCCTTTCAATTATAGTGTAACGATAATAAAAACTCGAAAAAAATATTTGAGACAAATTAAATTTTATGCATATTCCCTATTGTTTCAAATGTCATATGTTTTGAAATTTTCCAACAAACGTCATTTTTGACAGCAGTATCTGACGGTTTCAAAGTTTTTCTTCAGGTGATAATTCAAAATTTTCAGTCATGAGGACCCCAACTATTAATTTCACTGACCAAGATATCGAACACACATATCTGAGACCTTGTTATTGTACTGAGGATGAAGATTCCTACATAGGTAATATTCACAAATTCAATAGTTTGATTGTTAATAGTAGCTGAATGTTTGACTTGTTTAGTATATATGTGTTTTACATAACTTATACTAATCTGCCTGTCAGAAGCCGATAATAATTCATTATTTCTTTGCAGAGAAAAGTTTCTGTTATGTCGAAGGCACCAAAAGAGACTTGAACGCCTCTGATAACAAGTCAGAGTTGAGCGAAAATGTGTGGTTTGAAATAAAACCACCGAGACTGTTCACTAAAGACGTGGCCCCCCTGGTTGCAGCTCGTAAGATATATATCACGAGGGTAATGCTAAACGGTAAACGATCAACTCCTGTGAATGAAGATGAGGAAGAGAAGAAGGAAAAAATCAACGTCAGTATGAAGAACAAGAAATCCGCTGTTAGATTTCTTTCGCAAGTGCATCTTCAATGAAATTAAAGTTTTTTAAATAAAACCGATTGAAGGAAGGCTACATGAAATTCCACTTTTTTTTAATATTCACACATGAATACAATAAATTAGTATATGACAGTATAAAAGTTCATTTGAATTTAGGGTTGAGCCTTGAGGGTACGGGAGAGTGAGTCACAGTGAAACAGAATAATACATTTCATGCTTTTATCACAAGTATAATGCTGAAAGATTTTAACATTATACTTGTGCTTGTGCTTTTTTCATTGTCTAATTATTAATATTGAAATAATGATGTGTGTCACGAAACATGTGTGTCACATGTCAAACATGTTTCGTGATTCCTTGATTTAAACGATTCGCAATGAAGTTCAAATATTTCAATGTTTTGCCATATTTATGGCAGCAACTTATTCGCGAAATTTGTGCAAGCATGACTATTAGTCCTAAATATCTTGTTGTTTGTGCGACATTTGTTATGCTGACAAAGGGATCAATCCATTAGTTAAAAATTTTCACAGAGCGGTCATTTCATTTGTCAAAATTTAAGTACCCAATGCTTTCTTTACGATGGTATTTATCGTTATATTTAAACAGTAGGTGGAAATTCAAAGTAATTTTTCTACGTTTATTAGTAAATCGTTATGCTGGTAGTAGGGTTTTTCCGAAAGTTTATGAGATAACCACGATTTAAACTTGAATGAAAAAAATTAGAGATACTTTATCCACTTTTTCAGATATCTGAGGACCACATAAATCATTTATTTGAATGGATAAAAAAATGCATGCATGTTCCCTAATTAAAATGCAGATGTCGCCCACTGCGTTATTATTTTCGGAACATTCCCTTCAACCACAGAACTATAACTTAGAGAGAGATAGTAAACTAAATTATAGTTCTGTGCCTTCGACCCACTATTGAAATGCTCAATTTTCATTGGTCTGTTTTATTTGTTATTGGGATTTCAAAAATGTTTGAATTTTTAGTCTGTACTGACTTTTAATATAAGGTATTAATATAGGTAGGTATATATTTTCTGATTCAGCTAGTCATTAATACTTATTAATCATAATATGTGTATTTGTGGCCTTTACTCTAAAATTATACCACCTCTGGTATTTTGTCTGGTGACTTCCAATTTGTGAAGGTAGGTTAGGATATTTGTTGTCAGTTACTATAATTTCAAAAATATTTGTCAAATTCTCTGTCATAAATTCACCTTAATTCGATAATTCAACAACTTTGAATCATCTATTAACTACATTATTCTTCCAGCAACAAATTATGACCCAACATGGACTCTGACGCAAAGAGTACAAAGAGTGAAGAGGACTCTTCCACCAAGTACGTGTTGGATTATTACCGAAAGTTCTCTCAAAATAAGGACTTGCCAAAGTATTTCTCTGGTACATCGGTATCTTACCTTCCTGAAATCAAAGATGATGCGGAAATTGAGGTTCCAAAAATTGTCATCAACACGAATGTTGATCTTGTTCTAACCAATTTGGATGAAACAAAACCGAGTGAACTTGGCGACTCATCTCGTACCAGTAGCGTCATGTCGAATCGCAAACTAGAATGGGATAGCGGAGCAGATATTGGATACAGCAATTGTGCAGCTGGGAAGATTCACAAAAGTTGCTCCCTTCCCATATTGACAGAGCTGAAACAGAAACAGGTGGCTTTTGATTCTGCTCAACCTCCTGGTCACCATGAAACACCCAAAAGTAGTGGGAGTAGTGATGTTAAGTTAGTGGTCTATCCTTGCTCCAGCTCTTCAGAAGGAAATAGTTCAGGAGCCAAGTGCTCCTCGTCTTTGTCCTCTTTACCTGAAGAAAAGAAGGAAGTAGCATATTCATCTAGCAGTACAAGCCCAGGAACAACTGGTAGAGGGCTCGATAAAGTTTCAAGGTAAATGATTGTTCGTTTTTATGGCCTAAGCTATTTTCTGAAAAAATTTCAATATTAAAATTGATAAGAACCTTGAAAGAGTCAATTTTTTAACAAAGATGCTGAGTGCAACCAGCATCTTTGTTAAGCACCAAGTTTTGGCTTCAGATTTGTGGTCAGGTGACAAAAATTATGCGAGTCTAATAAAACATTGTTGAACAGCAGCATGAGCCATTAAAACAATTAATTAGTGTGTATTTTTTCAGCACCTCAAGTCTAGGCACAACCGGTAGAGGGGTGGATAGACTTTTGACTCCTAGCTCCAGTTCGAGCAGTACTTCAAATAAAATTTTGAGTTTCAAGAGCACCTTGTCGCATTTGAAAAAGAAAATCGGACTGCCCGAAGCTCAGTCAACACCCAACATTGTCGAAACTATTGGGAGTGAGTCGGAAAAGATTTCCGACACACCAGTCATGAAAAATCGTGATAAACCTGTGAAACAGTTATTGAGCAAAAAAAGTTCTGAAGAAAAAGTGGCTGCCGAAGAAGAAAAGAATACTGTGACTGATCCCCTACAATCTGGTACTTCACGTGGAGGAGATTGTGATGGAATGAGAAACATAAAGCAAAGTAAAAGAGTGGTGAATTTGTGCCTTACAAAACCAGTGTACGTAGAATGTGTAACTAGTCCATCAATGGCAAGTTGCAAACAAATTCAGACCCAAACAGAGCACTTGTCTGTGGGAATTCAAACTGACTACATCTCTGAGAAGGAACTGACTGAAATTGCGGTGGACATCCAACAATATCGGAACCAATCCATGCAGTTCCTTGAACATCATAGCGATGAAAAAAATACCTGTAGCACCCAAACAGTAACAGATATGGAAGCCTCCAAATGTGATAGTTTCGAATTCGTGAAACCCGATTCAAGCGTGCAAAATCGTGCAAGCAAAAGTCCTAGTGAAGTAGTTCAAGTTTCTCCATCGTCCTCGGATGTTGATCTTGCAGAAGCCGTTTCAACAAGCAAACCTGAAAACCTAGGTGCCGATATTGCGAAGAGCGTTTATATCCTGCAGAAGCTGCTGAGGTCCAAAAAATACGACCCGGCTACTAAGAAGAGATATGCAAAAAAAATTATAAGAAAAATCACCGAATCGAAGTATTTGGAGGAATCCAGCACGAGTTCCGAACTGTTTTTTCCCAAAAAAACTTGCACGAAGGATTCCCAAAGCATTCCCCAGAACAAAATAATGCAGCAGAGCACCGATTCATCTGAAGGAAGCTCCCGGCATCTAGAAAGTAAAGTGAACATTTCTCCTAGAAAGAAAACCCTGCAAATCAAAACTTTCAACGACAACATCCCTCCACATTCAGTTGTGTCTGCCAAAGAGGAATTTTCCAGTCCTACTGAAATTATTCCAGTGGAAGCCAGAGATATGAGAAAAAACTTATTCACTCTTACCAACAATGAGTTTTCTGTATGTCAATATCGAAGGCAAACTGCAGAGGGCGTAAAGACTCCCAATGCAGAGGTATCTGCCTCCAATAATGGTGCCAGTCTGGAGAAACATTTTGATTCAAGTTCGACGCCAAAATCCTACCAGAACTGGAAGCAAGACAAGACTGTGTCGGAGAGAATAGTAGAGCAGAAATATCCCACAATCGGTGATGGCGATTATTTGGTAAACTATGCTGATAAGGAGAGAGAGTACCAGATAAATTGGATCAACAAAGAGATAAGCCATCTGGGTAAGCTGAAGGATTTGCTTGAGAAGCCTCCTGTGAGCGAAGCTGCGAAGAAAATGAAAAAGACCACCTCTGTGTACTCTGTTTCTAGAGAAGATCAAACTCGCAAGGGTGAATATGAATCCTATAAATATTTACTGAAATCCAACTGTAACATACAGGTTGTCTCCTGACTACAGTAAGAAACTTCAGAGGGTGATTTGTTAGGTTGTTTAAAGAAAAGAAGTTTTTATGTACATGTCCCCAGTTGCTTTGTTTCTCCTAATCACTGGATTGGACGTGCAGGACCTCCAAATTGGCCAGCTCGCAGTCCTGATATGAATCATCTAGATTTTTATTTATGGGGTCATCTGAAGGCTCTTGTTTATAAAACTCCTGCACTAGATGTGCAGGAATCGAATAATTGACTATTGCATTGTCATAAGAAATATTCCAGGTATTTGTACCGTAGTTAGGAAACACCCTGTATTCAAAATGAATGTTGCTTGAAACAATACTGAAATTAAATCATTTCCAAACGTGAATTGACCAGATTTGAGAGAGGTTGTAGCTTTGATGACAATATTTTTGTATTTTATTCAATTCATGAGATGACATTTTTCTCTCACTCTACCATTAAATGGTAAAAGAAAGAAAATGTGTAGTTCTAATCAGTGGTTGCTTAACTCTTTATCCTTAATATTTCTTCTGCAAAAATTTCACAGAAATATTTATTTGTCATGCATTTAATCACTTAGTTACAAAACTACCATTTATTATATGATTAGTTACTATGAGTGATGAGTTACTCTTTTTTTTCTGACGTAATGACTGGAACATAAAATTATCCCTTTCAGGAGGTCTCTCAACTTGATTCTTGTGCTAAAGAGTGAACTCTGTGTTTTATTAACGTTGAACTTCCTGAGGATTGTGGACTATAATTTTTGTCATTAAGCAGCAACATATTATTATTATCCTTGTATTCTGTAGTGCTATTTGCACAATTTCCCTGGTTTATTCCAACTTCTTCAAGATTTTTTTTCAACGTATCGAATTTCTAAAAATATTACTAGTTATTTGCTTTAGATGAGGAGAAAAGGAAGTTTGTCATCGAGACGAAGCTAGGGAAAGAGCTCTCCGATCAAAGAAACTTTCAGCTGGATGGCAAAAAATTCACCGTAGTCAATTATTCAGAATGCAAGAGGAGGAAGAAAAAAAGGCCAGTCCTGGCGGATATAGAAGTGGTTTCCAGCGACACCACGACGAATATCGTCGTGACGACATTTTGCGATACATGCGAAAAGAGGCCTTGCATCTGTTTCCAACTCGTGGGGGATGGGACTAAAGAAAATATCTGCCACACTTGCGGAAATCGCTCTTGCACCTGTTCCACCCTCAACCCCATCAAATCCTGTGAAACTATTTGTCTCTCTTGCCACAACGCGCCATGCTCTTGTAGCATGAAATTCTCCAACACTGGTGCCATTTCGAAAAGATGCTCGTTGTGCAGGTACTATCCGTGCATCTGTTTCGGCAGTTTCAAGCAATCAAGTACTGGCAGTAGAGGTTACGATGGACAGTTCATTGCTGCAGCAGCTCCTGAGACGAATCTTGGTGGGAGGAGTCAGGAGGAATTTTTGTTTTCCAGTCGGTCAGCAACAAATACTAAATCCTACGATGGTTGCAGTAAATGCAGAACATGCCCTTGTTTGTGCAGTCGTTCTGTTGAACGCAGTGAAAGTTCATCTAAAGGAGGTAAAGTTACTCTTCATCATTTATTTATTTAATTATTTATGTATACGGGTAATCCCCATGGGGAAAAGAAATAATACAAATACAGTATTTCCTTAAAACTAGTTAGGCTAGGCAAACATTTTTGGCATCATTCACTGTTAGATCCCTTCAATTTCGGTAGACAAAACCAAGAAGTTTAAGAGCTTTATTGACGTATGAAAGATTCACATCAAAGATTACAGCCAAATCTCTTATTTCATTGAGCCCTTTTAGATTGACATATAGGGAATTGATAACATCCTGTATCTTATGACAATCTTCAATATCCTCAATAGGAAAATATAGCTTTAGGTCATCAGCAAACAGCAATAATTTACAGTAATGAATTGAATTGCCAACATCGTCCCAGGGGTCCCGAATGAGAGCCCTGCGGCACTCCACAAGGTAACAAGATTCGTTCTTACTCAAAGTATGGGTGTTGGTAACAGTTCAAAAAGTTTGGGAATCCCTGAGAGCATACTTATGTGTCTATAATTTTGAATGTTTTTAGGACATATTGTAAAACAATACATAAGGCAAATTGTAAAATTAATTTAGGGTGGTATACCTGTATGATATACCTGAGTAGCATAAATAGGGTCAACTTAGTAATGTTATCAGTTTAATCCTCTTGAGGATGATCACTTGGTGATCGAAACACGTGTCGAGATGTTGAAAATAACGATTTGGTGGTGGGAAAAACTGCAGTAATATTCATTACTACACCAAAGGTTCCAAACACTGCATCATAAATGTGCCAAATTAAGTTTAAAATAAATCTAATGAAAACTTTTCCAACACCAGAATAAAAATACAGGCATAGCTTATATTTACAGGGTTGGGGTTTGGTGATTAAACGGGAAAGGGTGAAGAAAATGAAAAAACAAATTCCATGCAAAAAAAGAATTTTTGATATTTCCCACAAATATTTTTTTAACCTGTATTCCCAACTTATTGAACTTTAAACTGATTCAAGCCAGAGTATTTCTCACTAGCACAATTGAGATTATTATTTCGTTTATAAAACATGATTTTTTGTCTCTCTTTTTCTCTTTATCAGAATTTAATTTGCATTTTCCATTTCCTTGCAGAACTACCTTCGAAACAATCATCAATTAGTCTCAGTGGATCCCTAAGCAAAGTGTTTGTCAATTGTAAGTGCAAAACACAATCTAGATGCAATTGTGGATTCGTTGAGAAGCTGTTACGCCATTTCGACAAAGACGATTTATTGAAAGACATCAACTTCGAAGACAACAGCGTTCAAACTGAGCCTGAGCACCGTTTACGTATGAACAATATTGGTGTACAAACGCAATTGAACGTGCGAAATCAAAATTTACAAACTTCAAGTCGTCAACAAAGCAAACTATCTCAGACTGACGAAGTTAGGAAGTCTCAGGATCAGCATCAAAAATCTGGAGGTGTAGAAAGCAAACCGTTTGAATTGTCCAGCGTGGCAATTGTGACAGAGAGTATCTCCCAGCGTAGTGCAAATACTCAACCTGCTCCTCAGGACAGAACCACTATGACGGTAGGCGTTAAAGGAACTTCTACGGAGGACGAAAAGAAACAGCAGTACACCTCTGTTGATGTTGAACCTTGTGAAAACGCCGCTGTTTCAGCTTCAGTCGAAAAACTGAACCAAAAATCGCAAGCGTCAGAAAATTGGACACAAATTTTCACAAACACTGCTCCGGCAAAGGAGAAAATTGCTTTTCAAAGTGTTATAACACAGTCGGTTTCTACAGACTCGGTAGAAGTACCAAAACTCACCGAATCCCAGTTTCACAATGCAAGTAGCCAAACACAGACTGAAAATAAGATTCCAGAACCGAGTTCTTCCTCTAGAAGTAACAGTGAAAATTTAAACCGTGACGCTTCAGATCATGATACTTCAACACATAAAACGTCAGCACATGGTACTCTAACCCGTGACGCTTCAACTTCCCCTAAATTAACTCGTGATACTTCATCTCGTGAGTTCGAAAATCGTGTGGATAGCTCGACTCGTAAGGCTACAACTGGTGAAACTGTAGTTCTCGGTCCTTCGACTCGAAACTTCTCGAATGCCCATACTCTAAGTCGTGAAACCTCAACACGTGACGCCTCATTTCGTGATGCTCTAATTAATAGATCCTCAATTAAAGATGATTTGATTCGTGGCGCCTCAAACCGCCTTGACTCAATCCGTGAGGTCTCAGTGCGTAATGGATCAACTCTTGACACTATAACTCGTGATGCTTCAACTCGTGTCGTTTCAAATCGTCCCGATGCAATTCGTGGTGCCTCAAACCGTGAAACCTCAACTCATGATACTTTAACTCGTGATGCCTCAACTCGTGATACTCTAACTCGTGACACCTCAACAAGAGGTACTGCAACTCGCGACCCTGTCTCTCGCGATGCCTCAACTGATAAGCCAACGAATCGTCACACATTAACTCGTGATGCCTCAACTCGTGACACTTTACTTGACTCATCATCCCGCGGTACTGTGGCTCTTGACGGAGGGAATTCCTCGCCTGAAATGATTGATCAGAATAAAAATAGCGGTGCTGCAGCTCAAATTCGATCTAGAAACGAACAAACCAACAAGAATGTGAGATCAGAGGAATGCGCTTGTGTTTGCGGATTCATTAGGAAAGTTCGTCATCGAGATGCAGGCAAAATGGAGAAGAATGCAGCTCGTAGAGAAAATACCCCCACTGAAGCAGGGAACGATTCGTCGAACATTTTACTGTCGAGTAGTACGTCAAATGGTGAGAATAATTTTGAATTATACAGTAATTGATATTTATTTCACGGGACCGTATCACGACGGCATAGATAGATAACTCTTTGGACTATCACTCTGCTAGAAAAGCATACTTTGCACTTTTCGAATCCCACTTGCGGTACAGAGTTTGTTTCTGAGGGAGCTGCTGTCAAAACTCATGAGTCAAGTTTTCACCAATTCAAAAAAGAGCAGTGGTATTCATTACCAGAGCTAGAGTCCAAGATTCCTGTAAGCCCCTTTTTTTAACTCATCACATCTCAACAGTCTACTGCCTCTTTATTTTAGAAACAGTCTGCCTGATGCACAAAAAACACAAAGATAACATCTCAAACTCAACTCAAAGTTATGCCACTCGCCTCACATTCAATATTTCTCTTCCTATAATAGCAAAAAATATTCCAATCATCTTCCCCTGCTTTGTCAACAAAACCTAAACTTTCATGACAATAAAGCATTTCTGACTCTGACTCTGACTCTGACTCATGTATAAAATACACTACAAAGAGAAAGAAAAAAAAATACTTCTAGGTACCTTGTTGTACATTTCCACTCTATTATATATGATTGAGTTCTTGATTTGACTACTTGGTGGGATAGAAACCTTTAATTGGCAAGCCTGTCTAGTATTGTCGGTCTATAGCCACACACACAGAGATACTGTACCACATTTTTTTGTAAGATGAAAACAGATTGAAACAGCTGTTTACAGCATACACCTCAAAATGCTTTGCCATACCTTAGGTGGGAGTCTAGGAGGGCATAAAAATTTTTTGCTGCGTGAAAACCTAGTTCTTTTTAAGTGCAGAACACTCAGAAGAAAGTTTCTTATTTATAAAGCCTATATGCTCCTCGAGATTCAGACCTTCATTGATATCAATTCCCAAGTGTACTTTCCATATGAATTTCTGGTAGATTGCACTTGTTTTTTAGTGTCAAAAAACAGCAGATTTGTATCACACCATTGTTTAATTTCTCTGAGGTCGTTACAGATACTTTCGTATAAATTTTGTTTCATTATGCCACAAAAGTGTGGTATCATCTGCAAAAATAGTGAAACTACCAGGTCATTTACATATAGTAAGAAGAGTATGGGTCCTAGAATCGATCCTTGGGGCACTACTAATTCCACGTTCTTTGTACTCGAACAACTATTGATTTTAACAAATTGTCTACGTCCTGTAAGGTAGGATTCAAACCATTTCAGGCAGTTCTCAACAATTTCATAATGATGCAGCTTCTGCAACAGTATTTTGTGGTTAACACAATCAAAAGCTTTTGACAAGTCACAGAATATTGCCGCAGTCGCTTCACCACTATTCAAGTTGCTGTATGCTTTATGAAGAAAATTAAATATTGTGTCATTAGTGCTTTTGTTTTCCTGAAAACCTAATTGATGAGGAGTGACTATTCTGTTTATATTTTTTTTCCTGCAGCTGAAAAAGCAAATGAGCCACTGGAATCAATGTAGTCGCCCCGGAGCGCCAATTAATTTTTATTGTTTTTATTTTATTTTTATCCTTATTTGAAAATATAATTAAGTCATTAAGTCTTATTTTAATGTGTTGTTTTGAACTCTGCATACGAATGTTCGTCCTTTATTGTATATTTTCACTACATTTCTGGACAATCCCTTTACAAAGATATGCCAAACGGATAATTCAATGAATAAATAAATACGCCTCGTCTATATTGGGTTTCATCTACTCACAACTGACATCTCTCACGTTACATCTTTACTTTTTGCTCATACCATTTCCAGGCACAACTTCCAGCGAAGCTGTCACCATTCGATCGGACACACCTTCCCTCGTTACTTGCGTCTGTTGCAAGCGAAGAGTTGCCTCCGATCAAACATCGATGCTGCGCACCAACAACGAAGACTACCCGCTGTGCCGTCGTTGCGTCCAGAAACGCCCGATCTTGACGTCCGTCTGTTACACAGGCCCCGAACACGTTTGCAGATGCGCCAAAGCCGCCGCCGACAGATTCCGACGCGTCGAAGAATACTGCACGTGCACGAGGCCACAAAGAGTGCAGAACGGGAGGTACTGCTGTCACTGCCAGTTCAAGCTGAAGAGGACTCAGCAGAGCAGAAACGGGATAGCGTACACTCTCACGTTGGAAGACGAAAGCCTGAGGGTTGGGAAGGGCAGCAAGCACAAGGGGAGGAAGAGATTGGAGGAGATCAAGGTGAAGGTGCCGTGTCCGTATAACAGGAAGAAGCGCAAGGATAGAGAGAATTTTAGTCGAAGGAGAGGGAGTAGAGCGGAGATGAGAGATTTTGGATTGGAGGAAGACGGAGGGAGTTACGGCGGGAGCGAGCAAGAATCGGCAAAGGAAGATGAGGCGGGTGAAGAGAGGAGTCGGGATATGAAGAAAAATGACTATCTTAGTTTGCAGGTGAGTGTTTTTTGATAGACGAGGGTGTGAAATATGTCGCTGGAATCAGTATTGTATTTTCTCATTCTCGGGTTTAATTGTATTTGGAAATTAGCAAAATTAATTCTAGATTACCAGAGTATGAATGACAGTACATATAATATACGAAATAGCTCAATAATTCATTTCCATTTGTTGAGATGTCTCAATCTGCATCAATAGAGTTCTCATTCCTTGGACGATCGCTTGGAGGAGGTTTCACATAAAGTAAAACTGTATGGCCATGTCAAACAATTTGTAGAGCTAATATTATGATCACGTAAGGAGCAATTGCTTTGCGGCCAAAAGTTTCACAGCAAATTGCTCAAGCAAAGCTCTCTAGTGCACAGATATAGGCTTGGCTGGTTTTTTTCAGTGCCCACAACACCCTCAGTGTCCATAAAAGTTCTTCCATTGCTGACTCAACGACTCGAAGGTCAACTACAACCTGTCTTATAAAATCCTAATCCCTAGTAGAGAAAACTGCACCCTAATCCAAGCTGCCAAGCACTTGGATCTCACAGAGTAATGCCCAAGTTGGTAATGAACTGCCATAGAAAGATCTCTGGTTTGGAATTCTGCACACACTTGTCTAATGAAGCTGATATCACTCCTCTGCAATGGAGGGGGCCGCAAGCGGTTTCATCAGACGACCGAAACCTTTCGTTAGCTTCACTGTAAGTTTTGCCAAGCAGATAATGAATGTCTGGACAAAGAAAAGTTTCAGAGTTCCCCTAAAAATCCACCTATAAATCTGTCTAAGAATATCACCAAACTTTTGTTATGCTTAAGAATTCTACAGGTCACTGTCGTTTGAATCGCCCTGTGAAGGGACAGACTGTTGAAGGACACTGTGAGGCATCTCTTTGTAGGAGAAGATGATATACTAGAACACATACCTTGTATCTGCCTCAGTTTGGACGGAATTAGGTTTTTAATGTACTGGCAGGGGAGATGAATGTTATTTGGAATACTAGTACTATGTTGCTGTATCGCTGCTGTTTCAATGTTTTGACAGAATCAGAATCAGCGAACTTAGGCGTGCGCAGCGTTATAGAACAGTGCTTTCAAAAAAATTGTTCTACAGCGCCATCTAGTGGCGAGTTATAGAAAAATTGATGCTTCGTTTCTCAGTAGTTCCGATATATTTTGTTTTCAGGATTATTTAAGAAAAAACAGGCCAGATTTCATTGATTCTGCAGAGTATCGAAGACAAGCCGTTGGGAATTCGAGAAGCGAGAGACAGCAGGCAACCGACGATCTTAAATTGAGATTCATCAAAGAAAAAGCGGCATATTCCAAGTTCAAAGGTGTGTTGAGACAAATCTATTCGTAATTTTTTATAGTAAGGTCCTCGTGAAAAGACGGTCGAATAGTTTCCTCTTGTTTTCAGGAACGAATAAGTTATTTACTGAGAAGCAGATGAAGGAAATCACCAGAAGGAACTATAAGAAGCTTCCGGAAGTGCAACAGAAATTGAACAATTTTAGAGAGCAGAGGCTCAGGAATGCAGATAAGATGATAGTGGATATTTTTAAGAGGGTAAGTACAAGGTTGAGTATGAAAATTTCATAAACTACACCTTACGATTTGACCTTCGCAAACTTTATTTTCGAAATAATATCACCTCTTAAATGTCACTTTTTTATTCATCAAAATTTCTAGTGTTTCCATTTTTTTTTTCAGAAAATCCAGGGATCCGTCCTGAAAGGAATAAGAAGTTTTCCAATAGATACAAATATAGTTGATATAAACACGTGATTGTTAATTATATGTAATAATGTATCATGCCGTACTTTTTTATTAATTTGTTGACCAAAGACAATATATTTCATGGATTTTATGGAATATTTCTTATTTTATAAATAAATTTATTGAAAAAAATTTGACTTTAATTCTTTTTGTGGACATTTTTCAGGATCACGAATAGTGTGAACCCAGAGGGGTTGAGGCATAATTGTTTTGGGTAGACATTCCTCACGATACCCCCATAAAGAGCAGTTTGGGGGACTTTTCTCTGAAATGTTTAATACAATATTTTGAGCTATACAAGGGTTCTTGTGAACATTGATGTAATGGAAAATGTTATTGCAAACATACCACAATAAAAATAAAAACTTCACTGATATATCTGAAATCAATAATCTTGAGAAATAAAATTGGTGAATTTTGCGCGGACGCCACCTAGTGTTGACTAGCTGAACATATTGGAATCAAGATCCAATAGAAAGGTAGAAATTTTTCTGGCTATGGAATGTTTTATTGTTGGGATCATATAGTTTGTACCTTCACAAACAGATGGCGAAAGAGGTACCAAATTAGTTTTTCTTCTTTTCATAATTTTTGTTTGGAAATTACATCCGATTACATCACCCAAAACAACGGGTATCATTATGGAACTATACTGTAACGCAACTTCCTCTCCTAACCCTTGAATTTTTTCCAGTACAAAATAGTCATTGATGAAACTGAGTATTTCTATCAAGTATTCCAATTGGTTCATTTATCAAATGATATGCTATCCAATAACTTGTATTATCGTTTATTTCTGGAACAGATAGATATTAAGTTACCAATGTAATTCAATTTTAAAATAAGATTCCTTGATAGGAAAGTTTTTGCGGGCGCCACCTAGTGTTGACTAACTAAACTTATTGGAATCAAGATCCAATAGAAATGTAGAAATTTTTCTGGCTATGGAATGTTTTATTGTCGGGGTTACAGGTTACAGCTGTAACGCGAGCTGAATTCCAACTGTGATAAGAGCAAAGTTTCAACTGTGACGTGAAGCCAGTTCCAACTGTGATGGGAGCCAAGTTCTAACTGACACAGGATTGAGTTTCAACT